AGAAGACTATACATGGCTAGATGGATGCTATGTGGGGAAGGTTCATTTCGTTGAAATGGTTCAAAATCTACAGGAGAAGTTCTATATGGAAGGCTATTTTTCTTGTAGAATCCGAGCAATGGGGGGTAAGTTGGTGTTGCTAGATTGTGATGATAAAGAGGAATTGAAAGACCTAATAGAGATGGCATCAGATTGGTTAGAGCAGTGGTTTGAAGAAGTGTGCCCATGGACACCAGAGAAGGTTGCATCTGAAAGATTCGTGTCACACCCCAAAACTCGAATTCGAGGCGCGACAGATGCTGTGCACTTGTGAGAGGGTCCCACAAATACACAAGGCTCAGAACTTATCATATCATAATCTGATACCACAAAATCTTAAGATAGTATTTTAAAATTTTCTCTGATATCATAAAATCTCAAAATACAGTCTAACTTACAAGATCATGATTGACATCTAAAATCCATTTTCAATTTACAAAATGGCTAACCTTCTAACTCGTCACTTCTCGTGGTTTCCCCATCCTTGGTTTCGCTTCCTGAAATGGTGGACAAGAAAAAACTATGAGATAAACTCAGTAAGTAAATATGGATAGCCCTTAATTAAACTTATAGCATGCCAACAAGTGTAATCATGAAAAACGGTTACAGTGTAGGAATGAAATAGACGTCTCTTCTATAGGTCATGGCCAGTGTTATAAACCTCCCATTGGCAGGCTACACTTGAACGAACCGGTTCTATCAATAACATGTCGACATGTGCTAGCGTTTAACCCCCACTAGCAGGATCATTAATAACATAACCACATCGGAGACAAAACAGGCAGAAGTTAACAGGAAAATCATAATTCACCAATCACTTTCAAATCATTAGGACAATCAATTAAATTCCAAGTAGGCATGCTCAATTTAATGAAAAGCATAAAAATTTTACTTCAAATTAGTCATACTTACTTTTGTATAAAATGGGTTTAGTCCCGCCACCACTTCAAAAACAAGTCAAAACATGCTTTAAAATCGAAGGGCGTTACCATAATCTACTTACCTCACTCGCATAAAACCGAAGACTCGATCTCAATGCTAAACTGACAAAACGATCAAGAACCTAATCAAAATATTCAAGGATTAATTCTATACTATCACAAATTCAAAGTGAAACTTCATTAAGATCACCCCTAATCACTATGCTATTCCTATCAATCTCCACATGATTAGATGTCTCCAAATTTGTTCTTATATTACAAACTAATCATTTAAATCCCCGTTAATTGTTGGCCATCAGTGTGTGAACAGTACCCGTGAACAGTGCTGTGAATAGTAACTACACTTCCAAAATTGGCCAAAACACTAGCTAATTTCACGGGATTTTCTCTCCAAAAATCTCAGCAACCAATTTAAGCTAATTTACACTTAAACCAAGCTTAAAACATGTTCAAAGGCTATTGGAATTCATCCATTTTTTTGCAGAATTTCGGACATCACAGGGCAATAATTACATGGATAATTCAGCAACCAATTGATGAGATTTCAAGCTTGGAGGGGTTGTCAACATACCAGAATTTCAGCCAGCAGAACCGGACTTCAGTTTGGGGAAGTTGCCGGTGGGAATTTGGAGAAGAAGCTCACGGCCTGCCTCAAAATTCAAGAAACCAAGAGCAATTAAGGTAAACCCAAGTTAAATCAAGGCTAGTGAGATGATTTCTTGGCTGAATCTTACTAGAAAAACCTGAGCAATTCGCACCCCCACACAGTAGAGTAGCAGCCGGAAGTAGCAGAGTAGAGCAGATTCAGATTTTTGCAGAGAGGGGAGGGGAATTTCTGGGTTCAATTTGTGTTCTAGAGCCAGAAAAGAAGGAGAAATTCCCAAGCTTCTTATCAGTTTTTCAGCCGGAAATGGGTGGTAGCAGCTGGGGGCTTCAGTCGGTTGCAGGGGGGTCGGGAAGAGCAGAAACGCGAAAATGGCTAGGGAGAAAGAAAGAAGAAAAAAAATACCCGATCCTTATCCAAATCTTTTCTCTTTTAAACCCCTCAACTTTTGGATATTTTCACTATTAGGCCCCAAAACAATCTTTTCCTCGCAATCAAGTCCTTAACTCAATGCTAAAATATCACAAAATTTTGGGGTATTACAATTCGTATGGATCAGGTGCCAAGGAGTTCCTCTAAACGTATGGAAATTTGAATTATTTGCTGATATGAGTAGTGCATGGGGGAAGTTTATCTGTTTAGATGATAGAACCAGTCAAAAAAGGAAATTCGACATTGCTCGATTCTTAATATCCACTCTGATTATGGAATCAATTTCTGTCAGGAGGTCTATAAGGATTAATGGGTCCATTTACGACATTAAGTTCACGGAGGAGTAGTTTACCAATGGCTTCTTCTCCTTGAAATAGGATTTCTTGCCTACCTTCTAGAGTGACTTAGAGGAACAAGAATCCTAGATGATGGAAAGTGAGGAAGGGGATTTGGGTTGTGAAGATGCAGAAAAAGCACATGGTGGCAATGGAAGACTCAAGGAAGCTGAGGTTGATGATGATGACGTGGCAAGCTACAGAGAGGCAAGCAACGGTAAACCTATAACACAAGCCATGAGGAGAAGTGAGATGACAGTTGAAGGGGTTCCTAATAGCCTGCAAAAAATTCAAACCGAGATTGAAGGAAAATTCAAAACAGAGAGGGAGCTTACGAGGGGAAAGGGAGGGAGATTTGATGCACTAGTTGGGCTCATGAATGAGGAGGATTTCCATTTGGGATTAAATGAACACAGTAATTGGATGTCAAATGAGGAGTCCAATAAGATGGAAAAAATACCAGTAAGGGAGGAGTCTGTCAATGTGGAGCAAGCCCAAAATAACACTTTGAAGAAGGCCCAAAATACTTTTGATAAAGGAGCTCTAGGTAGTCAAAGGGAAGCAGAGTCGGTGAACACCAATAATGGGTGTCATGACCCCTTCTAGAAAGGGTTTGAGAGGGAAGAGGATAGACTAGCAGAATGGATAAAAGGAAATGCCGAAGGGATCCTGAAGAAGAGCAAGAGGTGAATCAGATCATGCAGTTCGGTTTACTCGGAAGAGGGAATCACTCGACAACATTGGCAAGGACGAAGAGGCCGAAGAGGAAGAAGTCGAGGCTTAGCGGAGAACAGAGTACATCTGGTATTTGTGGCAAGCCCAACTGGTGAAGTAGTTGGTCAGTCTATCGGAGACAGTTGTATTCAAAACTACAACAGATCCATCAGGAAGCAGATGAAGAAAGAGTTGGCTAAGGAAATATGGGAAATAGCAAAGCAGCTGGGAGTAGTGGCCGAAAATGAGGAAGAAATCATACAAAGAATTGATGAATTGGAGTGTAGAGACAATTGGGCAAAAGCTACACTGGAAAAGAAAGGAACCGAGGCGATGGAGGAGGTATGTGCAATTAACAATGATTTTGTTATCATTTAATGTAAGAGGATTAGGGGGGCTCGAAAAAAGAAGACAAATTAGGGAGATGGTTAAAAAAGAGAAGGTGGGAGTTTTTACTAGTGCAAGAGACTAAATTGGAGATGATTGAGAGATATATGTGCAATAGGATATGGGGGTCGGTGGATTTTTATTGGATTTTTAAACCATCAAATGGTATGTCAGGAGGCTTGCTTTGTGTGTGGAATCCAAAGGTGTTTAAGAAACGTGAGATGTTGGAGGGTAGTAATTTTATTGGGGTGTATGGGGTTTGGGGGGAGAAACAGACGCTAGCATATATTTTAAACATATATTCCCCATGTACCTTAGCTGGCAAAAGAGGTCTTTGGGAGGAGTTGCAGTGCTTGATCTTTAATAGGAGAGGAAGATGGTGCTTGGGAGGGGATTTTAATGCCATTAGAATAGTAGGTGAATGACATGGGTGTAGAGAAATATCTAGAGAAATGAGGGAATTCAATTGTTTCATTCATGATGTTGAATTGATAGATTTACCATTGGTTGGAAGGAAGTTTACATGGTATAACTCAAATGGGTTACAAATGAGTAGAATTGATAGATTCTTGCTTTCAAATTAATGGGTATTGAAATGGAATGATGTTAAACAATTGGGCCTAAGAAGAACAATGTCAAATCATTGTCCTATTTTACTGAAGAATGAGAAGGTTGATTGGGGGCCGAAACCTTTCAAATTCTTTAATGCTTGGATGGAACAACTAGGATGCATAGAGCTTATCAGAAACACTAGGAAATCCTGTGAAGTGAATGGCAGGTATGGACTTAGATTGAAGGAAAAGTTGAAATTCACCAAGAATGCTCTCAAGATGTGGAGCGACAACTCAATGACAACTGTTGACATGAAAATTATGGAGGCTGAAAAAGAGATTGAGGAGCTGGATAAGAAAGGAGAGAATAGTCTGTTGACTCACATAGACATGGAAAGAAGGAGAGGTTGCTTTATTGATCTATGGAGCAACTTAAAAATCAAGGAAAGTATGTGGCAACAAAATCAAGGAAAATGTGGCTCAAAGAAGGGGATGCAAATACCAAGTTCTTCCATAGAAGTGTAAATGGAAGAAGAAGAAGAAATGAAATTTGTAGCATTCTGATTAATGGGAAGCAACTCACAAGAGTGACAGAAATAAAGGAAGGGGTGGCAGAGTATTTCCAGAAACTCTTCACAGAAGATGTATGGCAGAGACCCAAACTTGATGGAATTGGTTTTAAACAGATATCTCAAGCTAATAATGAGCTCCTCACAGCACCTTTCACTGAAGAGGAAATTAGAAAAGTCATTTGGGAGTGTGACTCTTTTAAAGCCCCAGGCCCGGACGGCTTCAATTTCAGATTCATGAAGTCCATGTGGGATGACACTAAAATTGAGGTGGTTGGATTCTTAAAGGAATTTCAGGAACAGGGCAGATTAGTAAGAGGGTCTAATGCCTCCTTCATTGTGTTGATCCCAAAAACTGAGAATCCTCAAAGAATAGAAGAATATAGACCCATATCCCTCATTGGTGTCATGTATAAGGTGGTTGCAAAATTACTGGCAAGCTGCCTTTGCAAAGTGTTGCATAAGATTATTGGGGAACAACAGATTGCATTTATTAAGGTTAGACAATTGGTGGATGGAGTAGTCACTGCAAACGAAGTAATTGATGAGGCGAAGAGGAGGAGGAAGAAAAGCTTTGTGTTCAGAGTGGATTTTGAGAAAGTATACGACGAGGTGTGCTGGAATTTTATTAATTATATGCTGGACCGAATGGCCTTTAGTGTTACTTGGAAGAGGTGGATCCAAGAGTGCTTGAAATCGAGCATGGTCTCAATTCTAATCAATGAAAGTCCAACACGTCAATTTCTGGTCACAAAAGGCATTCGACAAGGCGACCCTTTATCCCCCTTTTTATTCCTGATTGTGGCAGAGGGTCTAAATGGATTGATGGCAGTAGCTATCGACAAGGAGCTATATAAGGGTGTGGAAGTTGGAAATGAAGCGGTAACAGTTACCCACTTGCAATTTGCGGATGGCACCATATTCTTTGGGGAGGCATCAGAGCAAAATATAAGGACAATCAAGTGTATTTTAAGGACATTTGAAATGGCGGCGGGACTGAAAATAAACTTCGGCAAATGCCAGCTAATGGGCATCGGGGTGGAGGACGATTGGAGAAACAAAATGGCCTATAGACTAGGCTGTAAAGAAGGGGAATTCCCGATCAAATACCTGGGGATACCCATTGGGGGGAACCATAGAAGGGTTAAGATGTGGCAGCCATTGCTTGATTTTGTTATGAAGAAACTGTCGAGTTGGAAAGGGCGGTATCTCTCTCAAGGTGGTCGAATTACGCTTATTAACTCAGTGTTGTCAAGCCTCTTCGTGTTCTTGATGTTCGTCTACTTGATCCCAAAAGGTACGCTTAATTCAATTGATAAAATTCGTAGAAATTTTTTAGGGGGGGGGAGGGAGAGGAGAGAAAAATTAGTTGTGTAAAGTGGGATATCATTTGCAAAGATAAGGAGTACAAGGGGCTAGGTGTGAAAGATTTGAAGAAGCTTAATGTAGCGCTAATGGGAAAATGGTGGGGTCGGTTAGCAACAGAAGAAGAGGGGTTATAGAAAAGAGTTATTAGAGGAAAATATGGAGGGGAAAGGGGGCATTGGCAGAACTAGGTGAGAAATGGAAATGATGGGGGCTCTTTATGGTGGAGAGACGTCTAGAGGATTAACAATGCTGATAGGGACAATGTCGGGTGGCTAGCGGAGGGGTTTAGGTTAAAGATGGGGGAAGGTAAAGATGTGAGCTTCTGGTGGGATGAGTGGTGTGGGGGGTGCTGTCTTGCTAATTTGTTTCCGAGATTATATTTGTTATCAACAAATAAGGAGAAAAAATGCTACCAAATGGGGAAGGAGCATAATGGAACATGGGAATGGAACTTAAAGTGGAGAAGAAGACTGATGGGATGGGAAGAAGAGTCAGCTTATGAGCTATCAAAAAAGATCGAGGAGGTGAAAATACAACCAGGACTCGCAGACAAATGGGAGTGGGTGCACAAGAGGGACGGCAAGTACTCATTTTCATTAGCGTACTCACTATTGTCAAATGCCCAACAGATTCCAAATGAAATAAAATTCTTTAAAAGAATTTGGAATCACAATATACCAAGCAAAATTGCAGCATTTAGTTGAAGAGTTGTGCTTGACAAAATACCAACCAAAAAGAACTTGTTGAAAAGGGGAATTGACAGCGTTATGGATGATGTGAAGTGTAGGTTGTGCGAGGAGGAAGAAGAAGACACTGCCCACCTGTTTTTGAGATGTAAAGTAGCGAAATGGATTTGGAAGGAGTGTGCTAAATGGTGGGGGATTTCTATAAGGATGGAGATGAACTGCTGGAAAACTTTTGACCACCTTGCTTCATGGACCAATGATAAACGGCTCAAAATGGATGGGATTGCATCTGGAGTGTAGTGATCTGGTCAATGTGGCTTTTGCGGAATAGAAAGATATTTCAAGGCCGGGAAACAAACATGGGTAAGCTGCTAGAATTAATTCAATTAAGATCCTTTTTTTTGGATTAAATCTAGAATAGTTGGTTGTCACTTTTATCTTTCAGATTGGTTGTGTAATCCTATAGCTTGTCTTACGGATGTTTAAGAGTAAGCCTGGGAGAAGAATAGTTTGAAAGATAGGAGTAACAAGTGTAGGCTATTTCTTCTCTGTCCTTGTGTAATGATATAGATGGAGTACTACTTGTACTTCCACACTAATCTTAATAAATTACCTTTGTTGTGCAAAAAAAAAAAAAAAATAGACAAAACATTTACTATGGAAAGGAGAAACCACTCTACACTTAAGAGGCCTACATTTTATTAATAATTATATGTTTTATGGTTCATTCACCTCAATTTAAAAAGGGATTTTTTTATCCTATATTTTTAGCATACATAATAAGAATATATTTAATATATATTTTTTATTATTAATACATATAGTAAAATTAAAAATTGATACTAATTTTATAATTGTCTAATAAAAAATATTCATGTGTCATAAATGTTAAAATTAATGTTATTTTTTTAATGTAAATTAATACATAATTAATGATAAAAAAATATAATAAATATACTTTTATTCTGTGTTCTAAAGATACAGAATAGACAAACCCTCTAAAAAATTCACTTTTCATTAATAATTTACTATTTATAATCCCTATCAAATGAAGTGCACATTGTATTATTCTAGTGTTACATCGTGAGTTTTAAATCTTATTCTCTTTTCTTAAATTATAATGTGTTAAAAAAAAGTTTTTTTTTATAAAATTTTTATCAAAGTCGGTATTAAATTTTTAATAAATTTTATTTGTTTGATATGGATAAAAACAAACCATTCATATGTAGATTAGGATAAGAGAATTAATTAATAATTAGCTTTTATACTCCTATTAAACTTAGGTGCATCAATATATTTGTGCTCTTTCATTCAATAAGGATAGTAATTTATCATGTGCCCATTCACATCCTATTATATAATTATTACAAGACTAACTATCACAAAATAAGATTGTATTTCAAGTCTAAATTTTAAGTGAATTTCCTTTACTAGACATTTAATTTAACTAGGATGTTATATATATTGACAACTAGTATAATTAAAGCAGTGGAAGCTTATAAAAGATGCCCTTATACATAATGAAAGTGGAAGCTTAATTATAAAAGATGCTCTCATACATAATGAAAAAGATTGCATATGTATTAGCATTTGCTTGTAACTTTCTATGATCATGTCGTGGACGAATTGTAAAAGTGGTGGACATAAAGTTTGGTAATTGGTATTCATAAATCATAATCTAGCACGATGTAGAATTGTGCGACGAGAATTGGCGACGGTGACAGTTTCAAATGGTCTACTTTTCCAGTTTCTACCAACACTATGAATGAAAAGAGGTGCATCACTGTCCACACAATCGTTTTTGCCTTCTGTCACATGCCTATCTAAGGTAACATAATAACATTCGATAATTTTTTTTTGTATTTTTTATATGGTATTTTATTTAAAAATATAAATTTATCATTTATATATAAATATTTTTATTAATTTTAGTTATTATTTTATATATTTTTGAGAATAAATAACAAAAACACTTATAGTTATGGTACCAACGTAAAATATTATAATATTTACAAATGAAGTCTAAATTTCAAAAATTTACGTTAATCTTTCTTTTTATCAAAGTGATCTTTTACCATTTAAATTATACTAAATTGTAAAATACATTTTTATTTTTGAAAACATATTTTGCACTATAAATTATATTAAATTGTAAAATACTAACTATTAAATTAAGAGAGGTCTCCAATATTGAGAGAAAACCCTTTATCTAATGGTAGGAGTTTTACAATTTGGTGACTCTTTTATTTTTTATATATCAAATCAAATATTTAAAATCAAAGTTCATTTTTTATTGTAAAATTTTAAACTCTTAATTTTTTTGAGTTTAAACTCTTAAATTTCAAATAAAATGTTTTAATTAATAGATATTAACTTTATTAAATTTTATCTTAAATTATAAATTAGAAGATTATCATTTCTTAACTTTTAATTTACTCAACTTACATGTTATACAATTTAAATTTATTTGTTTTAAAAAATTATCATTAAACTATTTAAATTATTTATTATTAAATTCTAACTAATTAGATAAAATAGGAGATTACTTCATTGACAAAATGTACTGATATTTTGATGCTGGTTCCTGGTTGTTTTTGTCCCAAGTTTTAAATTATTGACGTGTATTATTATTAGAATCTTTTTCGTAGGTTCTTAAAACCTATTTTTAGTATACTTAATATCAACCATTGAATAACTACGGATAAGCCAAATTTACAAGGATTTATATTGATGGGATATTAGTGAAGGTAAATTCAGTATGATGGGATGTTAATTAAGATATCGAAGGATTCTAATCAAGGATGCTTTGAAAAATTAAAAGGGGGACATCATCTATATGTCCTTGAACATACCATGAGGTGCTAGGTTCACAATAAAAAATCACCAATCCTTTGTTATCCTCAAATATCACCGCTATTTATTTACGAGTTGAGTCAGTTAATAAAATTTAACTATTTTAATTATAAAATTTTAAATTTGAGTCTTCAATTATCAATAATTTTTTAATAAATAAATATAAATAACATGTAAGTGTTTACTATTAAAATTAGTGATATATTATAACCAAAAATTATAATAAAAATCTTTTCTTATTCTAAACTTTATCACTGTAAAAAAAAAAAATCACAAATCTTTCATTATCTTAAAAAAAAAAAAAAAAAAAAAAAACCACACACACTCGCATCTCTTTCCCAAAAGGATGACAACCGATTGACAAGAAAGATCAACCATCAACTTGTTTTTGGGATAATGGGATTAGACATCGTGCTAAGTCCTCATTAAATTCCCTAATAATTTCATTTGGCTGGGGAGTGGGAACTCTGATGTTTACAGGCTCAATTAACAGATTATGAAGCAGCCCATGTTCTTCTTTGCCCTTAATTGGGAAGGGGTCTATTCAGAAATGGTCCTATCGCTCTAGTGTTTTCCACTAGAATAGACCAATTAACATTCAGAAGCAGCATAAGCAAATGGCTTTGTTTCACATTTTCAATAAAACACAATTAAAGCTGAGTTTGGCTTTTGCACCAAATGCTGATCCTCAAAATCCCATCATAATAGTGAGAATAGACACAAATCTTCCTTTGAATCCCTTTTGAGTTAGTCACAATTCAAACTGCATTTAACCCCCAAAGTTAAATGCCAAAAAGTGTTTTAATAAAAAGTAAATTACCCTTAATTTTTTATGATCTAATTTAATGAACATGAGATATTTTTTTTCTTTAAATCTTTTATGGAGTGTTGTAATATTCAACTAAAAATTTTTTAATTTAAATTTTATATTCTTACGAGTTAAGACATGCTTGAGCAAACTTATTATTTAATTATCATCAATGATTTTTAACATTAACTAATTTCATAGAGCCCGAAAAAGCATCATGGCAAATTGACTTTAACTAGAAGGAATATATGCTTGGTTTGTCCCCCTTTAAGCGTGGAATAATTACACCTTCCCTTTTGGGTTATAGTGGAAAATGATAGTCAACTTCCATCAAAATTTACATCATTAGACCCCTTAATCAACATCATAATTCTTGCTTTATCATACTCAGATATCCGGTCGGGGCAATTGAGTTGAGTCTTATCGCCCAATTAATCTATACCATAGTTTTGGTCAAGCTCCTATTTCTCCCTGCTTAACAGACTTTGATAAAGTTGTCGGATTTGATTCTTTCAGGAAATTGCAGACACACCTTAATCCCAGGAACCTTCTTGCTCTAACACATTAACTCAAACAGCTTGTCTGTAACTATCTTACTTTTGTTTCCCGAATTTTGTTAATTAAAGGGAAGCAAAGATCCAGTGCTGCTGCTTTAATCTGCAGGGACATGGTCCAAAGTTAGGCTTCAATATTTTTTGGTTAGAGTAATGATTTTTATAACAGGGGATGTGAAGTAGAAAGAAAATGACAATGCTTATAGATAATTTCGTTTGCCAGATCAAAAAAATGTACCTATGGTGCGCCTGTGCTGGTTGCTACTGGACCTGTAAGCTGTCTTTGATAATAAAATCAGGAGTTGATTCAAGACATCAATTTTGTAGGGTTGCTTTCATGGTTATTGTGGCACAAAGAAAAGAATTAGGAGGTTCATATCGTCTTGAGTTTTTCCTGTATCAGTCTTCATCAGAAAATGACTGAAGATAATAACAGATTCATTTACAATATGTTGAATGAATTTCAAAACCTATTCATCAAAACTGTGCATTACCCAATTCATCATGACAACCATGGAAGTTTTCCTCCTTAATTATGACATTATAGGAATGGGTGTAATGTAACAGCAGCCTGATCTTTGCGGGATTCTCGTGAACATGAGATGGTTTGGGGGCATTCACTCAGCAGTGCAGACTCTGTGCTCGATTGTCAAATGCAGGCCTGTCCACCCGGACAAAAAAAAGAAAAAAAAAATGAAGACTTATCTTTAGGACACTATTGTGCTACAAAAGGGCAACAATTATACATACAGCAACACTGCAAGAAAACAATTTCTCACATCTACGGAGTCTAGGGAGTGGTCTTCTAGACATCTCTTGTCAGCAACTGGCAATGTTGTTGAAAATTGAGAGTTGCATGTTAGGATAGCCCTACTTCCTTTTTGAAGGTTTCTTTTCTCTCCATCCTAAGAAATTCAAACCAACACAAAGAACAAGAGAACTTTATAAACAAATTCAAGGAACAAATAGAACTAGATATTATGTAGATATGAAAAAAAAAAAAAAATAAATAAAAGAAAAAGAAAAAGAAAGCATAGCACTTTATCCACATTTCCAAGCATCCCATGAAACAAATAGTCCACGCTCATAAAGGCTCTCATCCAAGAGTATAAGAATAATCTCCCTTCAATCAAGATCTGTTTTGGGAATTTCTCTCTATTATTCATCATTGACTCCTTGGTATACAATATATGTTCACAAAGAATGTCAGTAAGGGTCCTGATTTCAGCAACTTGTTCGAAACAAACTATTGATCAAACATCAGTACAGCTTGATTTCTCCATCAAGTTGAAAGATTTGGTGGCCTGATAATATCGAGAAACTAGTTATTGTATTACTAAGTTGAACCAAGCTCCTTCATGGTACACTTCCATTCATTTTGGTTTAATAATAGGAAGCAACTGAGACTCAAAGCAAAGTTACTTATAGACAACAGAAGACGTCGCTAGGCTTCAAATAAAAAAAGAGTATGTGAAAGTAATAAAATAAAGCGCTACTACTGGAAATCGTTCATTCCATCTTAATTTAACTGCAAATTACAAAGTGGAAGCAAAAGGCATGTCAGTAGCAATTGTACCTATACTTCCTTCAACAATGTGGTGCTTTTGACAACAAAGGAAAAAAAATGAGTAAGAAGGAAAAGACCAACAGAGATGGTAAGTGGATTCCGGAACCACATGATAGATGATTATGGAGAACCAAGGATTTTGTCTAGGTACTAAAGAACTTTACTCCAATTGAAGCTAAATTTAAATTCCATATCTTGGAAATTGCATTCCAATAAAAGTAGCTGCAAAACCCAGTACCTTAAAAAATGTCCAATAAGGTAAGAAAATTTGGAGAATGTAACCATATAGCGGAAAAGCATTAAATTAAATTCAGTGGAGGATGAAACGCAGACAAAAGGGAACTATTCAAAAGGTGTTCAATGCAATCCTATGATACCAAAAACATGATTCATAAAGAGCCCATATATCTGCAATATGCCATTTGAGGAGGGTACTAATACCATCTCTAACTTTTAATATTTTGCACTCAAGACAGCTTCCTGGTCTAGACTCATTTTCTCTGCAACTTGGACATGTGAAAGGACAAGTTGCTCAAAACCTTTAATTGACTCAACACAAAGTGCTCTCTCTCTCTCTCTGTCAATGTTTTGCACTCAAAGACAGCTTCCTGACCTAGACTCATTTTCCTGACCTAGTATTTAGAGCTGTAAGAAGTGGTTACCACTTGATTCATAATGCCCCTCCTAGCAGGCCTTTTCTTAAGAACAAAGCAGAATGACATTGAAAGGCTCTTGGGGAGATAGAGCTTGGAACTTGGAGGTCTAAAAGGGTTCAATAACTGATTTGTTAATATTTCATAACTATTCCCAAACACAACTTCAGGCAAAGCTTCATTATTTTGTTTTGCACTAATGCAGTTATGTCATAAAATAGTACATCCCGAAGCATGACGTAGAAAGTGTATAACCCCGAAGCGGTCAGCTCTCTCTTCCACCAAAATATAACAGGAAACCACTAAAACAACAGTCAAAGCAATTGCTAGATTGACAACTTACTACATACTACAATAGAGAAGAAGATCATTAATAGGTTTCCCATTGAGTCTAGCACTGCACTCAGTCTTCACCAAAGAAGGAAAAGTTGCTCCATTTTTAATCAAAACGAGTTCTCTAGTTAGTGCACAAATAAAAATCAGTTTCAATACCACAATGTCTCTGAAATCAGATCTTCAGTCCACACAAGATTATTAAAATTTAAATTTCAAACCCATGCTATTCTACACCATTTCTGTTAAAGGTTTGAGCTTTGGAGATTCTTATAAAGTCTTAAATTCCGCCATAAATATAAAACCAATAAATAATCAAGAAACAAAACCCCATGGAAGTAAAAATGCATTCTTCCATAACTGATCTCATATGGGCTAGCTATAAAATTAATAAAACAGGCAATTGAGGATCAATTTGCATAAAAAAAAAGGTGCAATTCCATGAACCGTAAACATTATTATAAAAGAAAAGAAACTTACCATACCGACTTAGAGTCCGAAGCTGCAAAGACACTGGAGAAGATCCATATTCCATAGAAAAG